GCCGGACTTCACCCACAGATGCCAGTGAAATGAATCACAGATATATAGATTTGGGAGCACCCACCTGCCCCAACCAGCCCCAACCTGCCCAGAACCAGCCCTAACCTGCCCAACCAGCCCCAACCTGCCCTAACCACCATCCCCAACCTACCCCAACCATCCCCAACCAGCCCCCGCCCAGCACTCAGCAGCCCTCACATAGGATCCATCAGCTCCCAGCATGTGCCCACCAGCCCCAGACAGCACCCAACAGCCCAATCAGGTGTCCCACCAATCCCAACAGTGCCCACCAACCCCCCCCATCAGCACCCAACAGCCCCAATCAGTGACCACCAAATCCCACTATGCCCAACAGTGACCATCAACCCCCCCCCCCCCCGCCAGCACCCATACAGCCCCAATCAGTGTCCACCAATCCCACCAGTGCCTAACCGCCCCAACCAGCCCCCGCCAGCACTCAGCTCAGCAGCCCTCACTAGGATCCATCAGCTCCCAGCAGTGCTCACCAGCCCGACAGCCCCAATCAGTGCCCGCCACACCCCCGGCCGCCCCCCCCCCCCCCCCCCCCCCCCACCCCGCCCAGCACCCAACAGCCCCCAATCAGTGTCCACCAACCCCCCCCCCCCCCGCCAGCATCCAACAGCCCTAATCAGTGTCCACCAATCCCACCAGTGCCCAACAGTGCCCACCACCCCCCCCCCCCCCCCCGCCATCAGGCACCCAACAGCCCCAATCAGTGTCGATACCAAACCTGCCCCCCAGATACCAACCCCCCCCCCCCCCCCCCGCCAGCATCCAACAGCCCTAATCAGTGTCCACCATATCCCACCAGTGCCAACAGTGCCCACCACCCCCCCCCCCCCGCCAGCCACCCAACAGCCCCAATCATGTCCACCAATCCCACCAGTGCCCAACAGTGCCCACCAACCCCCCCCCCCCCACACACACACACACCAGCATCCAACAGCCCCAATCAGTGCCCACCAACCCCCCCCCCCCCACCAGCACCCAACAGCCCCAATCAGTGTTCACCAATCCCATCAGTGCCCAACCCGTTCTCATCTGCCCCACCAGCCCCAATCAGTGCCCAACAGTTCCTACCAGCCCCCCCAACAGAGTCCCACAAGCCCCCACCAGCAATCACCAGCCCCTGCCAGCACCCCCCCCCCCCCCTTGCCAGCCCTGCTCTCTGTAGAATAAAGATTTTTCCAAAAATAATTTTTTCTGCTGGAACTCAGCGGCGGCCGAAAAACCACAATGAGGGATAATGAGTGAGTGCCGACCGCGGGGGTGGGGTGTGCGTGTGTGTGCGTGTGTGTGCGTGTGTGTGCGTGTTCTGTGTGCGCGTGTATGCGTTCTGTGCGCGTTCTGTGTGCGTGTGTGTGCGCGCGTGTGTGCGTTCTTTGTGCGTTCTGTGCGCCTTCTGTGTGCGTGTGTGTGCGTTCTGTGTGCGTTCTGTGTGCGTTCTGTGTGCGTTGCGTGTGTGTGCGCGTGTGTGCGCTCTGTGTGCTGTGCGTTCTGTGCGCGTTCTGTGTGCGTTCTCTGTGCGCGTGTGTGTGCGTTCTCTGTGCGTTCTGTGTGCGCGTGTGTGCGTTCTCTGTGCGCGTGTGTGCGTTCTCTGTGCGTTCTGTGCGCGTTCCGTGCCGCGATGTGAAAGACAATACTGATCATTGCAGGAAACCTCCACCGGCCCGACCGCAGGGAGTGAGCTACGCGTTTCACTCTGTGCTACATGACCTAGAGAAGGTCAGACCGCGGGGGGGGGGGGGCTCAGAGAGAGAGAGAAGCACCCATCTGCCCCAACCACCACCCACTAGGATCCACCAGCCCCAGTCAGTGCCCAACAGTGCCCTCCGGTGCCCAGCAGTTCCCAAAAGTCTGTTTTAAGGTGAATTATTGATATTTCTCCTCCCCGCCTCCCCCGCTGGTGCGCCCCCGGCAGGACATTGGTTGAACTCCCGCTGGTGCGCCCCCCGGCAGGACATTGGTTGAACTCCCGCTGGTGCGCCCCCGGCAGGACATTGGTTGAACTCCCGCTGGTGCGCCCCCGGCAGGACATTGGTTGAACTCCCGCTGGTGCGCCCCCGGCGGGACATTGGTTGAACTCCCGCTGGTGCGCCCCCGGCAGGACATTGGTTGAACTCCCGCTGGTGCGCCCCCGGCAGGACATTGGTTGAACTCCCGCTGGTGCGCCCCCGGGACATTGGTTGAACTCCCGCTGGTGCGCCCCCGGCAGGACATTGGTTGAACTCCCGCTGGTCCCCCGGCAGGACATTGGTTGAACTCCCCGCCCCCGGCAGGACATTGGTTGAACTCCCACTGGTTTGCCCCCCGGCAGGACATTGGTTGAACTCCCGCTGGTGCGCCCCCCCCGGCAGGACATTGGTTGAACTCCCGCTGGTGCGCCCCCGGCAGGACATTGGTTGAACTCCCCGCCCCCCGGCTGGTTGAACTCCCGCTGGTGCGCCCCCGGCAGGACATTGGTTGAACTCCCGCTGGTGCGCCCCCAGCAGGACATTGGTTGAACTCCCGCTGGTGCGCCCCCGGCAGGACATTGGTTGAACTCCCGCTGGTGCGCCCCCGGCAGGACATTGGTTGAACTCCCGCTGGTGCGCCCCCGGCAGGACATTGGTTGAACTCCATGGACCCGCATCATTTTTTTTTTCTAAGAAAAGTTTTCGGATGGAATGATATAAAATAATTTCAATTATAAAACAAACATAACAATAAAGCGTCGCCGTGAATCCCCCGCGGAGATTTTCGCCGCTCTACAGTAATTGCGCCGCACTTGGGATAACGGCGTTTGATGTGCGGCGACATAATGGGAACACGTCTGGGAGTGACAGCTTCGTACGTTTTGCGGGAGGGATCGGGGCACTTTGCGTCCATTCAGCGCGGCTCTTGTCAGTGGGGAGGTGAAGGACAGCGCCGGCGCGGGTCTCTCTCTCTCTGCGGCGCAGAAAGTGATCCTAATGGGTTCAGCAAAGGGGATGACACGGGACGCGGGACGTGAGGTCATCGGACGCCCGCCGGCCGCAGTCACAATGGATGTGCATTGAGGAGAACACAAAACAAATCTCAAATGTCCCAAAATGACCGAAAGAACAAACCCAACCGACCGAACGTCTCCTTACCAAGGACTGTGTGCAACGAAGGCGTCGCTTTACAGCTGAACTGCCGAAAACACAAAAAATATATTTATATGGGGGTGGTGCTGCCTGCCAAAGGATTTGTATATCTGCCCTACCAGTCCTGAGATTTACACTGCTCTGCCACACAGTACAGCCCTGGTTGACAAGGCAGGATACATTGTCCATCCAGTCCTGAGATTTACAATGCTCTGCCACACAGTACAGCCCTGACTGGCAAGGCAGGATACATTTTCCATCCATTCCTGAGATTTACACTGCTCTGCCACACAGTACAGCCCTGACTGGCAAGGCAGGATACATTTTCCATCCATTCCTTAGATTTACACTGCTCTGCCACACAGTACAGCCCTGACTGGCAAGGCTGGATACATTGTCCATCCAGACCTTAGATTTACAATGCTTTGCCACACGGTACAGCCCTGACTGGCAAGGCTGGATACATTGTCCATCCATTCCTGAGATTTACAATGCTCTGCCACACAGTACAGCTCTGACTGGCAAGGCAGGATTCATTGTCCATCCATTAGGCACCGGCAACAGTGTCGGGAGTGCACTCAGTGTACGCTCTCGGCACCATTGGGGACTTCAACAGCTGCCCATAGTTTGGAGACCGCTGCCCTAGTGGACGAGTGAGTACGACTGTGATGGGAGTCACTTTGGGTGGGGGGCTCATGGAACACAGCCCCCTTTGGAGAGGTGGGGAGACCCCTGTTTCAGCTCCCCATATCCCTATTATGTGTAAGTCCCCCTGTGCCTGTTGAGGGTACAGGGTGATCTGTTCTAATATTGGGGTGGGGGGGTTGTTCATTGTTCACTGCCATGTGGTTGCATCCCATTGTTCTATTGTGTCTTGCTTGGGAGCAAACTATTATGGGATGTATGTGTTTGTACTGGCTTGGTGGGGGGGGGGGTGTTTCCGGCAGCCCTTCCCCCTGATGGGACGGCCTGTTGATGTGTTTCCTGTTCCTGGGTGTATTGCCCCGCCCTGTGTATATATCTTGTATCTGTGTTAAAATAAAGCAGTCTATTTCCTGTTGTAATACAAGTCTGGTTGTCTCGTCCTGTATGGTCAGCGGTGGTGTCCGTGGATCTGTGTCCGGACAGGGAAGCGGGAGTCTAACGGAGATACCCCAGTGCAGTCGGGATCCGGTTCCGTTACAACGACCCCAATGTAATATAGTATATACTGATGAATGATTGGCATTCATTGACACTTGAACCCTTGCAGTATGTGTGGTGGGGGGGAGGTAATTTTTTTGTCTTTAATATCAGGCCCCGGCCTCTCGGCATTTCCACGGCGAAGACTATTCTGGATCTCACATACAGCCACCATTAATATTTCAATAGCAGAAAAGATTGCGGCTTGGCTCCTGTGTGCGTCTCGCAGGGGAGGGGGGAGCGCGGCGCGGCTTGCCAGCCCTAATTGAGCGCTCCTGAACTGCGCTTCCTATACTTACCCCCCCCACCTCCTCCGGGATCGATAACAATGTAATATCAGTGTACAGCTCCTGTTCCATTCAGAGAGGGGTGACGCCGCATGATAAATTCATCAGGACGCCACCTGTACGCCGCAGAGCGCCACCAGATATCACGCCGTGAATTATTCATCACGTTCGGGACCATTGGTGATTGGGACTTACGAACAATGAAGGCCAATTGAAAACTTTGTTATGGCGGCCAAACGCGCGGTGACCGGCTGCAGAGGATGGATGACGCAGAACGCTACAAGGTGGCGCTGAAGAGATTTCTATAGGGAACATTGTATAAAGAAAAGTATCCAAATCCCGCCCCCCTCCCCGCCTTCCCCATCCTCTATAGAGGAGCAATGTGAGTGGGCGGGGCTGCTAGAAACCATGAGGCCCCATGAGGGGCGGACTGACAACTCATGGGGCCCCTCGGGCAATAGGGGATCATGGGGCCCCTGTGTTCTTGCTCAAACTCAAAAAGCCTATGAAAAAGGTACCAGGGGCATCTCATGGAGCCCCTACTGACCCCGGGCCCACGGGCAGCGCACAAGTTTCCAAATGGTCAGTCCACCCCTGGGCCCCATACAGCCAACCTGACAGGGCCCCCCCCCCCCCCCCCTAAAAAAAGCACAACGCAGCTTACTATGCTTCAGTTATGAATGAACACCATGAGTGATCAGTACCGATCATTCACTGTGTTCATTCAGAAAAGGAAGGGGCTGGTAAATGTGCCCCATCTATCCATGCTGAAGGATCCTATTGTGCACTTGCAGCTGCTGGTGGAAAGGGGGGAGGCAAGCCGGCAGCACTGCGGGGATGCAGGCACACAGGGGGGCCTGGGCAGCAGGGGGAAATGTATGATGCACAGGGAGGGCCATGGATAAGGGGTCCTCCTGTACAGGGCCCAGGCCAGCAGGGGGGTCCAGGCAGCATGATGGGGGGGCAATTGCTGGAACCGATCCCCTGCATGGCTCTCTGTGCAGCAGCTGAAATCCAACGGAAGGGAGAGGAGAAGAAACCGGATTTCAGCTGCTGCAGGGAGAGCCATACAGGGGATCGGTTCCAGTAATTGCCCCCCCCCCCCCATCATGCTGATCACCCTCCCTGACCACATCCGATTCACCCAGCTGCCTGGCCCCCCTGCTGGCCTGGGCCCTGTACAGGAGGACTGGTGGTACCCCCTTATCCACGGCCCTGACCCTAGCAGCCAATCAGGCTATGATGTAGGCACATGTGCTGGCAGTGAACATTGCGACAGAAGAGTGAAGTGAGAGCCGCTGCTCTTTCACCGTCCAATCAGAAGGCTGGGTTGTGTTCTTGGCTCAGCTGTGCGGCTGCTGTAGTGGTCCCAGCTATGCTGCCTGGCAGGGGTGCCGGGATAGAAAGGCCTCCAGATAGAAGCGCTCCCCATGCCCGTTAGGTGAATCCGCCCCAGAAATCATATTGGGAACTGTTGCCTAAACCCAGCGCTGCCTCCACACTTTATGCCAGGGTCTGCCAATTGGCCCCAAAGTAGGGAGGAGCTTAGGGGGGGTGTCGGCAGGGAGCTGCATAGCAGGGGATGTGTTCCGGAAGGTTCCTAACACAGAATGGTGGATCAGGCGGTTCGGCATTTTATTGAAATGATGGTTTTGCTTTAAAACCCATCTGTAGAAAAGCCTGTGCCCCGCCAGCATGCTCTCGGGAAGGACCCCTCCTCTCTGTGTGGAAGCAGCGGTCTCTCTGCAGAGGTCTGGCACACACCTGGCGTCATAGCTAGTGCTCCCTGCTGATTGGAGGGCTCTGACCCAACAGGGGACATGCTGGAGCTGTGCATAGAGACCACTGCTTCCACACAGCGAGGTTCTTCTCTGCAGCTTGCTGGCAGGGGACAAGCTTCTCTACTCAGGCTGTGGCTGCTTTCTGAAGAAATACGCTTCCCCCTGCTGCTCAGGCCCCCCCCGTGTTCCCCTCTTACCCCCCCCCACCTCCGCAGCGCTGCCGGCTTTCCTCCTCTCCTCCCTCCTGGCAGCGGCAAGTACACTATAGCAGCGGTGTATTTAGGTTTTGTGCTGCCCTAGGCAACACTTAAATCGGACCCCCCCCCCCCCCCTGCCTGGCAGAGAGAAAGCCTGACACCGACCACACCAGACCCCCCACCCGAGAGAGCCTTCCACTAACACCCCCCCACCCACTAACACCCCCACACCCGAGAGAGCCTTCCACTAACACCCCCCCACCCGAGAGAGCCTTCCACTAACACCCACTAACACCCCTCCACCCGAGAGAGCCTTCCACTAACACCCCCCCACCCGAGAGAGCCTTCCACCACCCCCCCCACCCGAGAGAGCTTTCCACTAACACCCCCCCCACCCGAGAGAGCCTTCCACTAACAACCTGCCCAACTGAGAAAGCCTTCCACTACACCCCCCCCCCACCCGAGAGAGCCTTCCACTAATAGCCCCCCCCCCCCCCACCCGAGAGAGCCTTCCACTAACACCCCCCCCACACCCGAGAGAGCCTTCCACTAACACACCCCCCCACCCGAGAGAGCGCCTTCCACTAACACCCCCCCCCACACACCTGAGACAGCCTTCCACTAACACCCCCCCCAACACGAGAGAGCCTTCCACTAACACCCCCCCCCAAACGAGAGAGCCTTCCACTAACACACCCCCCCCCCAAACGAGAGAGCCTTGACACCCCCCCCCCCATGGGACAGAGGGAGAGATACTCACCTTCACAGCTCTGGACATCCCCGGGACAGTTGGGCTCTGCATACACCATAAAGCAGCCCACAGCCTCTCCCGGATCCCACCTGCTCCCCATGCCGCGTACTGTATGTTCTTCCAGGGGGTGGTGCTGCCCCCCTAAAAAATGCTGCCCTAAGCAAATGCCTTGTTTGCCTTGTGGTAAATACGCCCCTGCACTGTAGGTGCCTTCAGGATGGAGAGTGGGGGAAGAGTTTGGTAAATATGTCACATTTACCAGCCTCTTCCTTTCCTGAATAAACACAATGAGTGATCGGTACCAATCACTCACTGTGTTCATTCATAACAAGCCTTGGGGAGGGAGGGGGGGGGGGCTGTCAGGTTGGCTATATGAGGCCTCGTGGTTTCTAACAGCAGCCCTGATTCAGAGAGAGCACAAGCAACTGTGACAGGTACCATGCACAGCAACTGTTGTGGGAAACTGTCCAATCGGTGGGTTTAGTTCCGCTTTACGTTGAACTTTATAAACACTTTTCGGATTTCTGATTCCTCTGTAGGTGGCCTCAGAGGTGAGTTAATGATGAGCGCGGCGGGTCCGTTGTCCATCTCTGTATGATCCATTGTCATGTGGACGGTACAGACCGAAGACCTCGGGGACGGGATGCGTCTTTCATGCGGTTCTCCACCTCCTGTACCGGCACGAAGGTCGCCCCATTCTTGGGCGCACAAAGACGCCTCTGAAAATATGTCATATCGGAAGCAAGATTGCGGTTGCCATGGAAACCTAACTTCCGTCGAGTCCTGTTGACTTTATGTCACATAATATCATTACATAGAAGCAGAATAGATTGGCAATAAGTGGCGAGGAATTCTCCGATGGAAAACATTGTTACACCTGATGACCTCGGATGTATAATATGTATCTTCCCTGTCAGCAAGAAGATGCCGAAAATGGACTCTTTTATTAGGCAAATCACTTCTAGGGAGCTCCAGCTCAGCTAAAACATGGATGGCGAGTCTATTCCAACCGAACCCCTCGTCTACTGAGGTTCGTTTATAAACGCACGGCGGACAAACGGTTCAATCCAGCTGCAGCTTTAAGAGCCGGCGAAAGGCCTTCCCATAATAATCATCCCCCAGAGCCGCCCGATCACTTTATGAACCGCACCCTCCCAGTGCTACCCATGGTGGTTCCAGCGGGGTGTTGGTTTTTGTGCTGCCCTAGGCAACACAAAAATCGGGCACCCCCCCCCCCCCGCCAAATGAGAGAGAGGAAAAGAGAGGGGAAAAAAAAGAGAGAGAAATAGAGAGGAAAAAAAGAGAGAGAGAAAAAAAATAGAGAGAGAGAAAAAGAGGAAAAAAAGAGAGAAAGAGGAAATAAAGAGAGAAAAAAAAGAGGGGAAAAAAAGAGAGAAAAAAAAGAGAAAAAACATGAGAGAAAAATAGGGAAAAAAAGAGATTAAAAAAAGAGAGAAAGAGGAAAAAAAAGAGAAAAAGAGGAAAAGCGGAAAAAAAGAGAGAGAAAGAAAAAAGAGGAAAAAATAAAAAAAAAAGAGAAAAGAGGAAAAAAAAGAGGGGGAAAAAAAAAAAAAAAAAAAAAAGAGAAAAAGAAAAAAGAGAGAGAGAGAAAAAGAGGAAAAAAAGAGAGAAAGAGGAAAAGCGAAAAAAAGAGAGAAAGAGAAAAAGAGGAAAAAAAAATAGAGAGAGAGAGAAAGTAAAAGAGGGAAAAAAAAAGAAAGAAAGAGAAAGAGGAGAAAAAAGAGAGAAAAAGGGAAAAAAAAGACAGAAAAAAAGAGGAAAGAAAAGAGGGAAAAAAAAAGAGAGAGGAAAAAGAGAGAAAGAAAAAGAAAGAAAGAAAGAAAAAGACACCCAGTGACACTCCAATGATGTCATGAATATTTCCAGCTTTTTTTCCACACAGACAATTTTGATTTGTGGGCCCCACCACTACGACGCATTTCACCCACATGTGCTGAGGCATAAAGGCCCCACCTGGTGACTTGCCGCAAAGTTCCAGTGTTGCAGTCTGATCACGGGGGGGGGGGGGGGGGACTGAGGAAATGCTATCTCCTGCCTTGGTCTCAGGCCCTGCTGGTGTCTGCTCATGTCCCTGCAGATGACACTCACTGTATGTAGGCCTGATGTTCTTCCTGGGCAGATGATGGGAGGGACAGAGGAGTATACCAACTTCCAAAATCCTTTACTTCTCTACTGGAGTTAGGATGGGGACCCCCCCCCCCCTTGACACCCCTTTCCCAGGAGGAGGGGAAAGCAGGAGCTCAGCAGACAGATGTTGCCTTTTCCTCTACAGTCTACTCCACCTCCCTCTAGGTCCTGCCTTAGTCTCCCCGGAGGAAGAGGCCCCTTAAAGGGGAACCTACTCTTCCACCTGCCTACAGTCTGGCTGTGGAGGGAGGTGCGGAGGGCGACTCTGAAGCAAACAGCAGAAGATTTGTCCTTGTCGAGCTCATGAATTGGAATCCCGGAGAGCGGAGAGGAAGTATTTTGTTGTATTGAGTTGAACTTTAAAGAGTAAATAATGTCCAAATGTTCTCTGAAGATAAACCTCTGGAATAGATGAGATTTTTTCGGCAATTATTTATTCTCCCAGCAAGGAGAACTTAAGCAACTGTGACAGATTAAACCCAGAAAGGACCCGAGCCGTCATGTCAGAGTCGGGAGGCAGCGATCTGCCAAGGCCGGGACACATCGCCACCAGCAGACAAGGGGGGGAAGTGACCAATCGTTCAGCGAGTGACATAAGGTGAACAGACTTTCCAGGACGAACGTCCCAGAAGAACCTCGGAGGAACCCGTCACAGACATGCGTTTCGCAGCAGAAAGCAGCCCAACGCGCCTGATATAGGGCACATAGATACGGGAAC